ATTGCTTGCATAAATAGTGACCAGTACCCTTGTCTCCTCAATCTTTTCAGGACCTCCCCCCTCGAACAGTGATCATCACTGTGCGATTCTGAAATGAGAATGGTCAACAATGCAACAGGTGCTACCAACAATCCTTGATGTGTTCTCCACAACCCCTTTCCATCAATTGTTGCCCCCCTCTGCATCCACATGTTATGTTCACTTTGGTCTGCCTTTTGTTGTATCTGAATAATGTCTTCGGGCGTGACAACGGGCTCTAGTGACACCACTGGTGATAGAATAGCTACCTTACACTTGGAAGCTGCTTTTGCAGCCTCATCTGCAGCATTATTTCCCCTTATAATGTCATCATTCCCTTTCCGGTGTGCCTGACATTTAATGATTGCAAGCCTCGTCGGGCCCATCATCGCTGATATCAGGTCCATTATCTGTTTTTCATGCTGTATTGGACTTCCGTCTGTTTTTCTGAAACCTCTCTGTTTCCACAATGCTCCAAAGAGTTGTGTGACACCTAGTGCATACTGGCTGTCAGTGTAAATGTTTGCGACTCTGCCTGTGGCGAGTCTGCATGCCTCAGTCAATGCTTTTAATTCGGCTAGCTGTGCTGAACACGGCTGATCACAACCTTCAGCTTTCACTGTCACAAAATCACTGCCTATTTGCTCAATCACGGCAAATCCAGCATGATTACCTAAGTAGTCCCTGTAGCAGGACCCATCCACAAAGTACGTCACATCTGCGTTCACCAATGGAGTAGACTCTAGGTCAGGTCGCAACTTGGTGTACTTCATTGTCTCTGCCACACACTCATGTGGCTCTCCTTCAAATTCAAATGGAACATTTGCTGGATTCGTAGTTGTACATTTCTTTATTGTCACATCAGGATATGTCAAGAGCGGCATGTACTGCAAACACCTTGCTTGAGTCACCACAAACTTTTCTTGGTTTATCAACTCAGTGATTTTGTGATGTGTGTGTATGATTACAGGGTACCCCATTGTTACCGTTGCTGCTTTCTCGTATGCATAATGCACTGCTGCTAGCCCTTGATAACATGGAGGCCACCCTTGTGCAACATTGTCAAGTTTCGTACTGTAATATGCAATCGGTTGTTTTGTACGACCGCTACACGTCTCTTGCATCAATACTGCTGAAACGTACATGTCCTGTCGATTAGATACATAGAGCAGAAATGGTTTGTCATAATCAGGTGTTGCATGAGCCGGAGCGCTCTGCATCTCTTGTTTGATTGTTTCAAACGCTACCATGGACTTGTCTGTCCATTGTAACGGAGCTCTTAACGTCTGGTTTCCTGCCTCTTTCATGATTTCCCTTAGTGGAGCAGTTTTTTCAGCATAGCTTTCAATCCACTCGGAACAAAACCCAGTCATTCCTAGAAATGTCATTAACTGGCCAACTGTTCTAGGACGTGGAGCTTTACTCACTCCCTCTAGCTGGGAGGGTGACATTGCAATGGCTCCATGAGAGGTCATTCTCCCCAGGTACTCTACTTGTGGTTGGCAGTACTGTAGTTTTGTCTGGGAGGCATTATGTCCTCCTGCTAAACTCTGGAGTACCTTGATTGAGTCTCGATGACAATCATCGATTGTAGATGAGCAGATCAACAAATCATCAACATATTGTATTAATGTGCTGTTAATATCAATATTTTCAAGATCCTGTTTCAAAATCTGATTAAACACGTGAGGGCTATGCTTGAAACCCTGTGGAATACGTGTGTAACTGAGTTGTCGTCCTCTGTATGTAAAGACAAAAAGATGTCGAGAGTCTTCAGCCAATGGAATGCTGAAGAATGCTGAGCACAAATCAATTACTGTAAAAATTTTTGCATCAGGTGGCACATTCATGAGGAGAGTATGTGGATTTGGTACCTCTGCTGGCCAATCTTGTACTACATCATTTACTGCTCGCAAGTCATGCACAAGTCGGTATTTTGTCTTGTCGTTTTTTAGCACTGGTAGTATGGGAGTGTTGCAGGCGCTGTACGTCTCAACCAACACTCCTGCGTTTATCAGACCTTCAATTGTCTTACTTACACCTTCTTCAGCTTCTGGTTTTAGCGGATATTGTGGCCGATAAGGCAGTTTCACATTTGGCCTTAGTTCAATTTTTACAGGATTGGCAGATTTTACCAAGCCCACATCACTGTCATGTTTTGACCACACTTGATCTGGCACGTGCGTCAACATGTCTTTCATAAAAGTGTTTTTGCTCTCTTCACTTTTATTTGCAGTTCTTAGTGTTTTTCGTGTTGGAATTGTTACTACCTGCGGTTTTGCCATCATTGATGTTCCACAAAGGATTTTGATCATCTTATTATCACGTGACGAAAAGAGTAGTGGGTTGTCTGTTTCTTGCCACTCACGTCACTCTCATGACTTTGTTTGGGTCAAGGTAACCTTTTGGCAGAACGCATGACTCTTTTACGGGAAATGATTTGGTAAGATTGGAGAGATTTATTACAATTTGTCTGGCGCCTCCAAATCACTTCCTAAGAATGTTTCTATTAGCCAGAATGTGTTATATAAGCTGTTTACTTGTGAAGCCAAAATGTGTTCAGTTCAACCCTAAGTTATATGATGATTTTCTTCAACAGTACTTCTGTATTTTTCATTTATTTACCTTATTGCTATTCTGTTCTGCATTTAATTGTTATTCTATTGTTTATGTATGTTTATATTTTAATTTTACTCTTTATATATGTTTATATTTCTATTCCATTATTTATGTTTATTATTTATATTTGTATTCTATTTTGTTATATATGCTTATTTTTCTGAATCTATGTTTAATTATTTTTCTGTTTTATAATTACATTTTTACATATTAGTTCTATTTCATATTATCTTGTGTTTGTTAATCCCACGTTTGTTTTCTCTTCATGTGTTTCTATCGAAGATACATCAAAGTTCACTTTTAACATGACGTCATGATTTCCGGTTCAGGTCAGACGGTCTGAGGCGCAGATCGTAACAAGGAGAGGGGCTGCACCTTTCACGAATAGTCCGTGAACGCACCAATCATCATACTCATGAACCAGAAAGATCACAACCTTTAAGATGGCGCTCAATCTTTGTCTAGTTCCTCTCCCGCTCTTTGAATCACGGTGTCACGTTATCATTACATTTAACATTTACTATTTATCTTCTGTATGTGACTCTAAAGGTATAAAACATCAGTCCGTGTGTTTAGATTTAGATTTAAAAGCTTTGGGAAAGCAGAGTTTATGTGGGAGTTTGTTCTCTGTCAGGAGCGGTGCATTGTGGGAGTGACGGCTGCAATATGTGAAGCAACAGCGACACGTGGCGGAGTGGAGGGAAACTGCACTCATATAAAGTTCAGATAATAATCACATTTTAAATGTCACTTCCTTTTCCTGTTTTTTATCTCGATACACTGAAGCCCAGAGGTGGAGGAAGTATTTACATCTTATATATTATATATCTTTTGTACTGTATATATATATGTGTAAAGGTATATACAGGACATATTTAGATATCTTACTTCAGTACAAGTACAAATACCACACTGTAAAAGCACACTGTCACAGTAATATATATTTATATATATCTTTACATGACCGTTCAGAGAGTTTATTGTTATGGTCAGAAATTGACATAAATGTAGAAATTATTTACATTTTAAATATCTTTTTAAATTGCAGATGTCAAACATCAGGTGAACAAAAGGATATTACATCAAGTAGAAACTGTATTTAAATAAATGCATATATATATATTTTAGATATGTATATATATATATGTATATTTGAGTATATATATATACAGTGCCCTCCAGAATCATTGGCACCCTTAGCGAATATGAGCAAAACAGGCTGTGAAAAAAATTCTTTGCTGTTTATCCTCTTGGTCTTTCACTCAAAATATTCACAAAAAGTTTACCTTTTCATTGAAGTCAAATTATTGAAAGAAAAAAAAATGTGGACATTAAATAAATATTTTTAAATAATTTCTACATTTAATAACAATAAACTCTCTGAACGGTCATCAGGCTGATATCATAAATAACAGTATTTAACCGTCTTCATTTGTGGCTCTCTTCCTCTATTTGTCGCCGTGTCTCACATGTTTTATTCATTTATTTCAGCTCATCTTTCAGACAGAATATCTCCTAAAACGTTCATTAATTGAACGTATGAAGGAGAAAGAAGAGACGGACCCGTGGGTGAAAAAGACAGAGATGGTTTATTGTAGTAAATATTGAGCTGGTCTCCGCTGTAGTTGGCACTCTTTAAAGGGACGACCCGCCACAAACAGCCGGCAGACGTTCTTTTTCCATCTTTTGCTCAATAACCCCACAAACAGCAGCAGCCTCTGGGACAAAGAAACGAGGGAAGAAGGGAAGTAACACAATCTGAGAAGAACCAAAAGGAGAGGCACCGAAAGCCACGAGAGACAAGTCAGCCGAAGAACCGAAGAACGACACGGAAACACAAAAACACATGCAACTCACATCGATCTACACCGAGCTCTATATAGGCATGCAAACACAACACTGCTGTGAACAGGGGCCCATCGACACACACACACTCACTCATATACACACCCACACACTCACTCATATACACACACACACACACTCACTCATATACACACACACACACACACACACTCATATACACACACACACACACACACACTCACTCATATACACACACACACACTCACTCATATCCCCCCCCACACACACACTCACTCATATACACACACACACTCACTCATATACACCCACACACACACACTCACTCATATACACACACACACACTCACTCATATACACACACACACACACACTCATATACACACACACACACACACACACTCATATACACACACACACTCACTCATATACACGCACACACTCACTCATATACACACACACACTCACTCATATACACACACACACACTCACTGAGATACACACACACTCACTCATATACACACAGTCATATATACACACACACACTCATATACACACACACACAGTCATATATGCATACACACACACCAGACCAATGTTTTTGTGTAAAATACGACTGACGTGTCGCCTCCTGAACGCATCACGGAGGCTGAAGATCCACCCAGACTCTGGTCATTGTCCCACCCCATCCAGCCAGGTGCATTGTGGGTATCCAGGTAAACACACACCTGACTATGAACCGTAAATATTTTGTTTTCTTCTCGTCACAAACGATTCATTCTGACGTCAGAGAGCGATTCTTAAAGCTCAACATGTTTACGTGTTTGTGTTTATTTTAATGTTGTCATTGGTTCTCAGGTGTTGAGATTAATAAACACGTGTTCTAGAATCAGAGGTTCTAGACGTCAAAGACACGTTCTAGAACCTTCAAGTCTTCGTGTTCTCGAATTTGTTTATTTTAAGGGACATGAAATATAAAATATTCTAGAACAGTGAGAAAGATGTGCTGAAATGATTCTAGAACCTCCAGAACGAGAGTTCTCCGTCTCTGTGGAACCTAAAAGCAGAACGTCAAACGTGTTCAACAAAATGATTTAGACGAGATGTCAGAACCACCGACTTAAATCTGAGTGAAGTGTGTGTGTGGTTCCACGTTCCTCCGTCACGGGACGGTTTTTTAAAACGCGGGACACGTTCCACAGAATCTAAACGAGTTCTATACATCAGAACGTGTGAGGTTCCGACGTGAAAAACACGCATTCTAGAATATTCAAGTCTCTGTGTTCTCGAATTTGTAGCAGTTTATTCAAAAGGACATAAAATGTGTGAGAGAGGAATGTGCTGAGATGACTCTAGAACCCTGTAGAACCTGACGCAGAACGTCAAATGTGTTGAACCCTTCAACTAAATGGTTTTGGGATAAGATGCGTTCCAGAAAATCAAATGGATTCTAGAGTGTAGATGGATGGTTCTAGAATCAGAACCGATGATGTGAATGCGTGTGGGGTTCCACGTTCTAGTATCTGAAGCCGTGTGCTTCACGTCAGCAGAGGGTTCTACACAGACGACAGACTCCAGAGCGGAGTTATCAAACGACCGGCTCTACAGACGGAAACGCTAAAACTAACTTGACAGCAACTTCGGACTTCAACAGAACCAAAATGTGACGGAACCCACGACCACAGACTCGAATCAGGAACGTTCTAGATTCAAACCAGACCGGGACCCAGAGTAAGAGAACCCTCTGAAATATGTTTTCCTTTCAGGTGTTCAGGCACAGGAGACGTGGATCAGGCAACATGGCTGCTAACGGTGACGTCACCGGTGGGTGGAGCTACATCAGCTACGAGCACACAGCATTGTGGGAGATGGAGTTCCTTCCATAAACACCTCTGACTGAGTTCTAACGGTTATGAAGCTGAAACACTCCATGAAGAAGAGAGATTCAGCAAACATCTTCCTACATGTAAGTGGGTCATACACAGCCAACACAGAAGAGAAGAAGAGATAATGTACAAAGAGAAGAAGAGTCTGTATGTGCCGGCTCATATCAACATATCAACAAGAGAACAAACTGTACAGATATGGAAGCAGGAGAAGAAACGTCGGTTCGTTTCTTATAAAAACAGATAAATCAACACTGGGTCACTGGTTCTCTGTCTGAAACACACCTTTTGATCGAGGTCGGCCAATCAGAAGACAGCGCCCCGGACGGGGGGGAGGGGGGTATTATGACGACTGCTACAGATTTTGGGGTTTTATTAAACTAATTAGAACGGATCAATACTTCATCAGGTGTCCGAGAGGAGACATTAAAAAGGAACATTCTGACATTTTGGGAAATACTTCAAGATAAACCTTCATTAACACTTTATAAACAGCTTATAAACATGTAATAAAGGGTTCATAACACACTCAAATGTAGTTGCAAGCTGATACAAGGAGAAATTGACAAATACTGAACATTGATAAACACTCACATCCACTAAAACTACATCGTAGTGAGTTATACACAGTCAATGGTTACAGACTGATAGAACGAGAGGATTTCCCAAAAGTGCAGCCATGTTCCTTTGACCTTTGACCTGACAGAACTCGTAAAAAACACATTTCATCATCATCCTGGTTGTCCAGCGTCTATGACACTTAGCTCGTTAGCATTCCTTCTGCGGCGGCTAGCGTCGCTAACTGATGCGGCCTCTCCCATTGTCTGATGTCATGAGGCATTATGGGTAATGTAGGAATCAGCAGCAACAGAAAAAAACAAACGCTAAAAGAATGGAAAATAAAATAAAAACAGTCTTGTGTGGTCTGGTTTCTGTTGGTCTACAGGTGACCTGCAGGGAGGCGGGGTCAGCAAACTGCTCTGTGATTGGACGAGTTCCTTCCATGTGACCACGTAGACCTTCTGTATAAATGCAGATGGAGACAGACGATGGTTCAGCTTTCCGTCTTCCCGAAGACCCGGTCCTTCATGAACCCCCACAGACTCAGACCGGACCAACTCCCAATCCTCCCCCGCCGCCCCCCCACGGCGGTCTCAAGCGGTCTGAAATGGTTTCAGGAAAAAGGGGAGGGAGGAGGTCTTCCTGTTCACTTGAAACAGTTCCAGACCTGCTTTGACTCTGGAGCGAATGATATTTGAGGACCTCAGGATCGGATCCTCAAAGAGGTTTTAAAACTGAACCAGATTTAATTTGTTGTTTTCAATTTTTAGCCACATTTCTGTTTATTATTGCCACAAATGTTCCAGGTTATTCCAAATAAGACGGGGTCGCTGGTCTTCTTTCGGGAGCTCGAACCAGGAAACTTCCTAACAGGGTCTAAAGAAGTCTGGACACTTATGATGAATAACAGATGACTCGTCTCGGTCGTACTCGTCCCATCTCGGTCGCAGTCGTCCCGTCTCGGTCGCAGTCTTCCTGTCTTGGTAAGGAGGCGGGGCTTACATAACCATGTATGTTTCTCTTGTTTTAAGGCGTTTCATAAAAGAAAGAGTAAAGAATGATATCATCTGTCTCAGGTGTCACTAGAGTTCGTGGAGTTGTAGTTTTTCTTCACTGGGGGGGGTTTGGTGGGTCTAAGCAGGTCTCAGTAAGTCTTTTTTTGGGGAAAGGGGGGGGGGGTCCTGGACCGGGCGTTCTGGTCTTAGGAGGTCTTGACCAGGTCGTAGACGTAGATGTGAAAGTCGTCGTCGAACTTGATGAAGTAGACAGAGGGCTTGGCCTCCACCTGGTGGATCACCATACCCGACCGCTTCCCGCCGTCCTCTTTGGCGTACTCCACCTGTTTGCCCACCAGACTGTCGACCACCTCGCCGGGTTCCCGCTCCGCCGCCACGCTGTCGTCTACCGAGAGGAAGACAGTTAGAGGGTTAGTCTGGCTGGTCACCAGGTCAGCGGCTGGTAGTTAATAACATAGTTATAAAATACTTAATAGAGAAATATATTACAGCTTGACGTGTTCCTGAGGTTGATTTTAATATTTCAGAGTTAAAAAATGGTCTGTGTGACTCTAAATGGAGCATAATGTACTAAATGAACATCATGCTGTATTGAAGAAGACTTGAAACTAGAGATTGAGACCATAAACTCATGTTTACAATGTTTACTGAGGTAATAAATCAAGAGAGAAGTAGAGTCATTTTCTCATAGACTTCTATGCAACCAGAGGAGTCGCCCCCTGGTGGTCACTAGAGAGAATGCAGCTTTAACACATGAAGCTTTGGATTAACTCTAAAGAACCGGAGGTTTGTCTCCTGGTCCTTTCAACCTCAAAGGCAGCACAGACCAGATCCAGTCATTCCCTTCCTACCTTTCACAATAAAAGCCCTAGCCATATAATAGTCTCATGTATTCATACTGTGTATTTGTCACAGCCCCAGTGTGTAAACATTGGTTCCCAGTAGAACTCACTGGAGTCGGGCATGATGCGCAGGTCTCCCTCCTTGTAGTCGTCCAGCAGCTGGTACATGTAGAGGACCGGGTCCTTCTCGTAGGTGATGTAGAACCAGGCGGTCATGATGGGGGCTCGGGCCAGCACCATCCCCCTCCACTCCTCCTTCGGCCCGTCCTCCGTCTCAAACATGTGCTCCACCGCTTTGCCGATCATCGTCTCCGCCAGCATCGAGTCGCTCACGCGGGCCGGAGCTGGACCAATCACAGAGGGGCAGAGGAGGCGGGTTAATGCTTTGTGTTTTTATTAAAGTCAACATTACAGACACAAGGGAAGTCACTACTCCTCCACTTGTTCCCTTGTTTCCTCCCTCCTTCACGTCCTCCGGACCATCAGTGAGTCAAACACATCTTTAGACAGACGATAAATTAATTAAACAACAAAACAATGCTTCTCGTGAAAAAATGTATCAAGAAAGAGAAAAAATATAAAAAAAATAGTATAACAGTAGTAATAATAATAATGACAATAGAAACAATAATTACAGAGTAATAAAGAAATAAATAACAATAGAAGCACCAGAACAAAACACAATAAAGAAGTAGTAGTAATGATAATAATTAATAGCAGATAACATTAATATTAATAATGATTATAAATATATAGCTCCTCACCCACTCTGTCGGGCAGGACCTCCAGCCCCACCACCCTCTCATCGCTGTACAGCTCCAGGCCGTAGATGCAGTCGAAGCCGTCGTATTTGATCAGGTAGAGCGACGGGTTGACGGGGACCTGGTCCAGGACCGTCCCCTTCCACTGGGACGATTTACCTGAGAGGAAGCAGACACACGGATTTATTAACCGAGACTCTGATGGAGAACTTTCAAACTCCCAAATATAAAAGACAGAATGTAACATTGTCTCAGAGTTTCATCCTTTACGTAAAAAATGTGAAGACACAACTGACCAGTGACAAAGTAGAAGAGTCATTTTAGTTATTCTAAATCATTACAAGTTTGCTGTCAGCTGACTCTTTGTAGTTACTCTGTGTCTCTTTGTAGTTACTTTGTGTCTCTTTGTAGTTACTTTGTGT